GCTCATTCAACTTTGATCATTGGAGTTTTCAGTTCCATGCTCTTACTACTACTTCTTTTACAGCTAGCGGGGTTGTATCTCTTTTGGGGTTGTAGTCTTCCATGACTACCCTTATCCTCTTCAGTAAGCTCTTCACAACAAATGGTCTCTTGCATGGATTCCTTTGCAGGCTCTTATTATCCTTCCTCTTTCCACAGACAATGATTAGACAGACACCACACATTGGCAGGTGTCCTGCTTCCTTCTCCTCGTCTGGATTTACGGATACTTTCCTTTAAGAATGAGGGGTATGGATCGATTACTGGGAAGCTTCAAGGTCTTCTCAAATCCACACTGGAGCTTCTCATGGTTTGTTGGGCCTTGGATTATTTCCTCCATCGGAACAGACTAGTTGGGTCATGATTCCTCCTGATCATTCCACAGTGGTTGCTTACCTCAATTGCCAGGGTGACACCCATTCTTGATCTCTCTCTATTTTCACATGTTGGATTTTCTTTTCTGGACACACATGCAGGATATCCATATCATGGCAAGTCAGGTTATGGATGCTTTCCAGCTTTTCACAGATCATTCTTCCTGTCCATACAGACTATCCTTTGGAGTGGTCTCTCAATCCTATGGCTAGTCAGTGGGGCATTCCTCACATTGATGCCTTTGCCACATCCCTCAATCACAAGCTCCTTCTGTTTTGGTCTCCGGTCCCTCATCTGATTACCATGACTGTCATTGCTTTCAGTCAGGATTGGTCTGATCATTTCCTGTACATTATCCTCCCATTTGATTCCTTCTCCAGGAGATTTAGATCCTTTATACTTGGTCATGTCAGGTCCTTCTGATTGCCCCTTACTAGTTTGCTTCATCATGGTTTCCACGCCTTCTCCAGTTCTACTTTACCCCTCCACTGCCCCCTTCCTCTGTCTCCCTCCTTGCTCCGACAAACTCGGTCATCAGTTTTTCATCCTGTTCTTCTTTTTCATGCTTGGTTTTCATACCATCCTTGGTGTGGAGATTGAGATTATCCTGAAGTGTAACTTCCCTTCTGGCCCGTTCCACCAGCCCTTCCTCCATGGAAGTTTATAGTCATCAATGGAACGTTTTCTGCCATTGGTCTCTCAGCTGGGGAATTGTGGCTGTTCGTACCTCTGTTACTTGTGTTGCAGAATTCTTACTTGGCTTTTTGATCAGTTCCTCTCTCTCCTTGTTATCAAGCAACTTTCTCCCACACTTAAACACTTTTCCCGATACTGTCATGTTTTCCTCTCCTACACTCTCCCTGTTGCTCCATTTTTTCCAGATTAGTCGTCCTCCATGGCAGTCTGCCCTTCTGGACTGGTATGTTCAGGTATATTCCATTGCCTTTCTTTGACTCAATTTGATTTACTTTCCATGTGCTCCTTATTTCCCCTTTTTTTTCAGACTTATTTCCTTCTCATGGCCAGTGGATGTCAGTGGTTGGACTTGTTTGCCATCGATGTTTCAGGTACTCTTTATCTTCATACATATCTTCTTTTTCAAATCATTCTTTCTTCCCTCAAACCTCTGCAGCATGGGAGGTACCTCCTCTTTTTTGGTGATTTCCCTTTTTTCCTTTTCCGACCTTGTCCTCGGTCTGATCCATATAGCCTTCGGTGTTGTATTGCTTGCACAGCTTCCATCTGTGATGCCCATTTCCACTTCTTTATTCCATGGTTACCATCCTCTGTTCAGGATCTTCCTCGTCCTACTCTCACCAATTAAGGGGTGGCTTTTATTTCAAATGGCTGATTCCTCTCTTACATTTTCCTCCCATACTTTGTTCCAGGTGTCTTCTTATCAAATGTGACACCTTATCTTTTCTCTGGCAACTCTTCTTCAATGTCAGTTAGAGGAATTTCTTCAGTAGGGAATGTGGACTACACCTCATATGTTCGTCTCCCTTTATTTAATCTATATCGCGGTTTCTTCTTTGTTGGGTTCTCATCTTCTGCCTGTGGCCATTTTTCCCAATTCAGTGCATCTTTCACTGGATAAGTTTATATTAATACTTTTCTTTGTGGTGAGTGGTGTCTGACCAGGTATTCTTTAACTCTAAATCCACACTGTCAGCCATGTTAACTCACAGTCTCTTCTTCATGGCTTCACTCCCTCACTGTTGAGATAGGGTGTTTCTCAAGATCATTTGATGGTTAATTACCTTGCGATAAGTTGCTTCATAAACATGCCCATTCCGGACCAAACCACCCATGGACTACATTGGTAAATCAGAAGGGGACTGCTGCCATACCTCGAGTGAATAACTGAGTATGGTCTGCTTTTCAAGTAAAGTTTCATGGTCACCCATTGCACTGTCTCCGGTGGTGATGTTCCTCTGGGCTCTCCACCACATTGTCACCCTCCTTTCCTCGAGTCGAGTATGGGAGTCCTTCCCACTTCTAATTCCAAGCCAATGGGGTGGTTGATCATGGAAGCACCCTCTTGAATGCATTCCACAAGGAAAAGGTTCAAACCATTCAGTTGAGATGGGGAGGTGATGTTCTGCTGATGTAGATGCAACATGGTCTTCAGAAGAGTTCAGCTGTCATCTTGCTGGTTGACATGGCCTCCTGATCACATTTACACACCAACATTGGAGTTAAGCCATCTCCTTACTGGATGATGTGGCCTCCTAACACAATTTGCACAACCACCAGAGTCGAGCCATCTCCTTGCGGGATGACATGGCCTCCTGCTTCCTTTTACACAAACACTGGAGTTGAGCGGCTGCAATTGCAGTTCATCCCTTCAATTGGGAGACCTCATCCTATTGAAGGGATGAACTCAGTTCCCCAGTGTAGAGGTTTTGGATTAGAGTGAACCATTCAACATAATTCTTCACATGAGTACAGATTTGTCTATCTTCCTCACCCAATTATTCTGACTGTGTCTTTGGTCACAGTAGGAGTACATGGGATTGTTCTGGTACTATCCTTGACTATCCCTTGTTCTCTTCTTATGGGGATGTTATTATCTTTGGATGGTGCTGGCCTGTGCCTTAGTTAGGGAAGTTGATTACGTGCAATAAACATCTTTTCGTACCAGATTTCAATTCCCGGAACGATAGATTGGTGATGATCCTCGTGGCATACCCAGATATCGGTGCAGGTCTTAATCCTTAATTTTTGGGTTTGATGTGAAGACTGTATGATCCTCATCCTACCCTCACATTGATGTTGGTACCCTGTGAGGAGGTTTTGATGTAGTTGACTTACCAAGTATGTTGTGCATTGCCCTAGCCTCTCTACACCTCACAATTTTCACTCTTGTGCATTACACAATCTACACATGGGCGAAGAGTATACCTGGTTCAGAAGTGGTGCAGTTCTACTCTTCTGATCTTCGGGTTTATGTCTCTCATTGTCAGGGATATCCTTCGGATGCTTTCGGGGTTACTTCTTTCGTTCCCATGCACCGGGTCCCTCCTCCTTTTCATTGTGGGATTCTAGCTAATCTTGTGAGAGAAGAAAAGTACCATATTAAAAGTTATAATTTTCCTACACTAAAAATGTATTTCTGACAGGTGCTTTCCTCTTCTCACACTTCCCATCCTTCCTCCCCACTTCTTCAGTACTCACACCTTCTGCCAAACATCAAAGTGAAGGTTCATTAGAGGAGTGTAGAGGGAGTCGCATGTGTCATGTGAGCATGTAAGTACCTTTCGGAAATATATTTTCAGAATAGGAAAATTATAACTTTTACCTCATCCCTTCAGAATTTGTTTTTTCAAATTTGGAACCAAAATCTTGTTAATCCTTATCTCCATTTGTGGCAAAACATAAATCTAATTGAGTAATGATCATTTGAGCCTAGATGTTCCCCAATCTCCACCCTATCAACCATTTCTTCATTAGAAGTTAACAATAAATCTAAAGTATCATTGTTCTTACTAGGTTACCTTACCAACTGGTTAAGACAACCATCCTGAACTGGTTTCTAAAAACTTGTCTCCTTCATAATTTCACTATAAATTTTCCCAATCCATATGCCTTAAATTAAAACCTCCCATAATTATAACTTCATTAACAACTGAATTCTTTATCTCACTGTAGAGTTTCTCATTAATTTCATCAGTTTCTTCTTGTTATGTGTAAAAAAATCCAACTAAAAGTCTTCTCTAATTCTTCTCGTTGCAGATACCTTCAACATGAACAGGATGTAACTCACACGTTACATATAAAGTACACTTTTTAGTACTTTATCCCAATTAAACAAGCTATAACCCTGTATTTCAAAGAAATTCCTGTCATCAAATTGTCTACATTTAAACAGGTTTCATTTCTCCCATTACATCAGAATCATTTATTCCAACCATTGCTATAACTGAACTCCAAACTTACTGACTCAACAACATAACCAAAATGCTAGAAAATTTACTTTACCCCCTACAATTCTCTCAAAACACAATAACTAAGATATAATTTTTAGGATTTTGTTTTTATTTAAAAGTGAAAAAAAAAAGCTCAGTAATTCATACATTAAGAAATTGGGATGAAATGTATTGATGAACCTGAGTTTTGCATAAGCTCCTTAAATCTACAAGGTTTGTCATAATAGCTACATTAAATACATTATTTTGCAGACACAACACAAAGGTGCTATATGCACACTCAGTGTTTTTTAAATTTACTGAAATGACAATGTATAAATATGTTTCAAAAACTTTTGAATCATATGATGCAAAACACTGAAACGTGGATGTTTTTTGCTGTATTCTCTATCCGTTAGATTTTTTGAGTGAAATTAATAAACCAGATGTTTGTAAGTATTAATAATGATATATTTGAATAACATATATATATTAGAGCTGGGGGAATAGTAGAATTTGCTAATTGATTAACCGTTGGGCTCAGTAGTTGATAACGTTCAACTACTTGGTTTTTCTCACAAGACTTGTTTCATTCCAATAATAAAAAAATAATAATAATTGGAAACACAAATTTCATTTAATTGATTATTTTTGTAAGTTGAAACACAAATCAATTAAGCTGAACAACCTTGAACTAAAATCAATAATGAGAAATTATAAGGTCAGTATTATGATGACTTGAATATATATATGTGTAGTTGGAATGATCGGAAATGCTAAGTTCCATTAGTTGATTATTTCTGTGACATCTACATAATCATAATTTTGATTAATCAGTTATTTTAAATAACACTAACTGAAATAAACAATGATCATGGGTAATACAATTAATTGTTCAGCTTTAATCAGCCTTTCCACTTGGAAAAAATTACTGCTGGTCACATTGACCACCTACTTATTATTTTACCAGTCACTACACAAAATAAATTGCCTGATACTTGTTCACTCGTAACTCCTAATAAATTGATAAACATATGCATACTAAAGGAAAAATTGCACATTGAAAAAAACCCTTCATTTGATAGATTTATTAATGAACAGCTATTACTTCTATATGTATCTATGTTGATGACATCAATTTGATCTCCAGCTCCTTGAATACTGTTTACATTACTCTAATTGGTCTTGTTGTTTTCCTGCATTTTCATTTTAACGTTTTATGATAATTTGCTAATGGACACCTGTGGAGGAATGGCAGTGTCATTGCCAGTAATTTTTCCTTCTCCAAACTCAAGTAGACTGAATTGTGGGTGGAAATGTATGATGCTGCTCTTTGGACTTGGAACTAATTATAAAAGGCAAGGTATATATGTCATTTGTTTTCAATGTATGTTTATATCTAAAGTAATATCTAGTTTCAATGTGTTATTTATAGTCTGAAGTAAAACATCACCTGTATCATTTGATATTTTATCCAAACATTATTTCACAAATAAGAGAAACAATTTTCTCAATACATAATTTACTGTAAAAATGAGTCTGGAACACTATCACATTAATCCTAATCCACTGCAATCAACATCACTACTTTCAAAGTATTATGTTTTAGCATCTTTGGGTTTTTGACAGTAAATAGTAAAATAGGAGGAGCCTATAGCTGACTACCTCCATTTACATGCTGACATGCAAATTTCTAAAAAGATTGATTTTATCTACATCAGACTGACTGGTAGCTTCTTTCTCTTCTGACTGATATTCACAGGTTAATAGAAACACTGTGTGATATATTCTAATATATATATATATATATATATATATTTGGAAATAGGAAAAAATATTAAAATTTTAACAGAAAGTAGAGAGCATTGGTTATTCATAGAATTGGTATAAGAAGTATCTAAAACAAAATAAATGCTGCAATAAAAAGTACACAGACAAGTGAGGTGATACTAGTTGGATAGGTTTTAAAATGATTTTGAATCCCTACTTTGGTTGGAAAGTTTATTTTGTGAACACTTAAAAATTTCAAATTTTACAAAATCTGTTTTATTTTTGGATAGGATGCTTCATATCCATAGGTCTGTTTAGTCAGAATGCTGCATATTCATGAATACAGTGCCACTGGCAGCTCAATTTTGTCAGGAATAGCAGATACCATATTTTACATGTACACTCTTTGTTTATATGTATTTGTTCATGTTTTTAACATATTGTGATCAGGAGTTAACAGTGCAGCACTTGGAATATCCCATGCACAAACTGATAAAAACATTATGGTTAATATTAATGCTTTCCTGATTAAATTGGTATTTAATATATATATATAAATAAAATAGTTTAAAGCTTCTTGTAATTGATATGTTTATATATTCTTCCTAGAGCTAGCAGTTAAACTTTATTGGGCTCTTATTGTATACAATGGCAATGTTATAAAATTGTTTCAATAACTTAAATATGTTTGTTACTGGGTGTGTGTAATTGAAAGTTTGAGAATTAAAGAAGTATATATATAGCTTGGTTCTGAGCTTTAGGGGTATGCATTTTAAAATTTGTGTGTTTGTGTGTGTGTGCTAGACTTCCACACTTCAGAATTTCCAAGAACTTGCATGGCTTCTTAGAAATCTTCGTAGTGTTTTTCTAGCATTAGGGTGAATGACGTGGAAAAATAATAATACTTGTCCATTGGGCTAAGTTTAATGATAGAAGTTTTGGCCCTCAGACAAATCTTGTTGTCTAGAAGATTGAGTGATATAAATTCCACCCCTCTGACAACACTTATAAGCTGTAATGGCTGGAGACGGCTTAAATTTTTCTTCATTACCCATTTAAGCCGTCTCCAGCCATTATTAGTCTCAAAGTGGGTTCCTCATCATCGAACTTATAAGCTGTAACTGAACAATACCGGTCCAAGGTTAATCTGAGCTCTTTGTAACATTGTTTTGGTATTGTATTCATGAATATGCAGTATTCTGACTAAACAGACCTATGGATAGGAACCATCCTACCCAAAATAAACTAGATTTTGTCAGGTAAATGAGTTGGTCATCAACTGTGAATAATTGTTGCTATGACTGTATGTAAACCATTCAATCAAGTTGATCAGATGTTTCGTCAATAAAACTATAATGGTTCTATACCAAATTGTAATCTCGTCACCTTGTATGAGTACAAAAGGAAAAGACATGTGAAGATTGCACAAGTTAAAATATCTAAAATGTGGAATTAAATTGGATATTGCTTGATACTCTCTCATTGTGAGAGCAGTTTTAAAATGAACTCTAATGGGGTGTGAGTTGGCATCATGCACAAAGAAACTTAAATGACAAAAAAATATATGTAAAATATGAAAATTATGATAAAAAAATCAAGGAATACTTTGTCATAGTTATTTATGGATTGCAGTTACTAATGCTATTAATGAAATACCTCAGTGGTCAATACTTAGGATTTTGCTTTTTTCCTATTTATGTTAATACAATAATAACCCACAAAGAACAAAAGGGCTTTTTGTCCTTCAAGGCCTAGCACACCCACCCTTAGGGAAGTAAAATTTTAAAACTACCTTATTTTTTAAAGTTATCATCAATTCTCTTATACTCCTGTAAAGTGATGGTTTCCACTACTGCCAACAGCAACTCATTCGATTTATCACTCTCTTTGTTAGAAGCAGAAAACTGTCTTAACTGTTATTTATCCAAACTTGTCCTCTCTTCATATTATGATATACATCCCACAGTTAATCTTGTAAATATGGATAAGATCATCTCTTACCATTGTTTTATAAAGATAGGAGCATAACTAGTAAACTAATAAAGTTTGTAGATGACATTAAAACTATTGGATATTTCTAGCTGTATTGAGGCATTACAGAATTTGATTAATTGGTAAGTTCAGCAAATATTTGACAAATGACCTTTAATTACAATAAGTGCAAGGTAATGCATTTAGGCTATCATAATTTGGATCACATACTTAATATAGATGGGAACCCAAACAATAGCATAAATGAAGAAAAGGAACTTGGTAAAATGGAGTACAAGTCACTCGAGCCAACAACGTTGTGTCAGTAGCTAGAAATAAAGCTAATAGATATGTATGTATGTATAAGAATATTTATTACAAGGCAAGAGGGGGTAATTATACATATCATTAGCTAGACTACCTCACTCGGAATACTGTATACAGTTTTGGTCTCCTTATCTAAGAAATAATATTAGTTTATTGGAAAGTATTTTGAGGAGGACTACTAGGATAATTCCAGGGATGAAATGTTTATCTTGTATAGGTTAAGATCTCTCTATTTTTTGTCCCCTGGTGGGACAACGATAAGTCTTTGGAGTTACAATGCTAGAATCAGGGGTTCAATTTCCCCTGGTGGACACAAAAGATAGCCGGATGTGGTTTTGCTGTAAGAAAACACACACACACTCTTATTTTCTCTTCAGTAAAGAAGAAGAAGAAACAATCATATTGAAGTCTAAGAGAAGAATAAATGATTTCCTGAAAGTAAATGGTGTATTTAAAATTTTTCTAAAAAGGTTTGTGTGCAAGTACAGCCTTGAATAAACCAAATAGTTTCTTGTTGTCTATAGATAATGTTAAGTAAATCTGACAATATTTGACTTTAGAGTAGTTTAACATCTGAGCTCATTCTGAGATGATGACTTACCTCTTTTCACACTTTAGCTATATTTTTCGTGTGTTTGCATGAGCGTCTTGCACAATACTAGCCTTGAAGTAACTCCCACCTAATTTAACATGATTTAATGTGAATTACGCTGGTGCATGATGATATTATCATGTGGCAAAGCTCTCCACCAGTATGAATGTAACACAACTTCCATGTGCTATAATGCCCCCTATGCACTTGCACCCATGATATCTTTATTCTTCTTCTTGACATTTTATTGAACAGGCATGTTTAAATTTCTCATCTGAGTTCAACTTATGTAGACTTGCATCGTTAACCTTTGATTTTCATTTTCTTTTGTTTCAAAAGCTATAATTTTTATCATGAATTCTGAAGTGGTGGTGACTTGTACTTATCCTATGTGAGTGATGTTGTTCACACTCAGGCCTTATATCTATTATGGCTTCTAGAGTCTTGCTAACTGTCAAGATCTTTGCAGCCATTGTTCAACATATTGTGAATGACCCCAGACTTACTGGCCCTCTTACTCCTGTCCTATTTGCTGAATTTCTTTCTCTTTGTTCAGGAATGACCTATTCAGCTATGACCTTAACCTTCCAGCCTCTTTCTCAATTTCATTTTCAGGTATGTTCCTTTCCTTATCTTTTGACTGGGTTCCTTATTATTACTTGTTTTTTATTCACTGGTCCAAGATAATGATTTGCTTTTACTTATTCAGATAACTTCATCTGCTAAAGTGTGCTCAGTGCACTTTAAAGCTGGCAATTTGAAACGGAGCATTTGTAGGAAAGGACTGATAGTTAAAAGTGCCATTCCATGAATTTTTACTTGGACAGAAGAGAAAATGTCACAGAAACCTCCAAGAGAATGATCTACTTGTACTGAAACTGTAATGCAAAATCTCCAAAATAGGTAACTCAATAACTTGTCTATATATATGCATACATAGCCCAATAGCTAAACAACAAGTGTAGCAGTTTAAATTATTATTATTCGTAGTAGTAGTATATTTCACAATATACTATGTCTTACAATGTACTCCCAACTTTGTCATATTATTATTGCAGTTTTAGACGATGTTCATTTGGATGTTGTTTGCTCAGAACTCTGATCACATTACCTGTTAATTCTATTCACTATATTATTTGCATTATTTTTCAGTCAAATGGAGATCTATATAAGAAGTTCCAGATCTAGATCATGACTACAAGAAATGTGCAGAGTCATTGCTGAAGGAACAGCTGAACGAACCATTGAAGCACATGGAACATCTAGAGAAGGAGAATCAACACCTTTGATCACTTCAGTTTGGGATCAACAGTTTTAGCTCTGATCCGAGCCTGATAACATTTTATACTGGCTTTTGATCTTATGATATGTTTTATGCTACTTAAATGGTCACAGTTCCAGAGGCAGAAATCAGGAATAGCACTCAACATATGAGATGCTCTTAAACATAAACATCTTTGTCCCATAGACTAGTTTTTTTTTATTCATGTGTCGATGTAAAGCTGGGTTATTTGAGAAGAATGTCGCTGAGAGATTTCTTGTCAGTGCGTCTACTGTAAGTAGCGTAATTATAACCTGGACAAACTACTTGTATCATGTCCTTGCTGCATTGCCTGTATGGTCATCAAGGGAGAAGGTAGACAGATATATGCCAGATTGCTTCAAGGAAGCATATCTTTGAACAAGGTTAATCTAAGACTGCACAGAAATAAAATGCCAAACACCATTTGCCTTGCACCTAAACAGTCAACTATGTTCATACTGGTGCAGTATCCTTGAACTTATAGAAGAACATGATGTAGTTGTGGCTGACAAAGGTTTTACAATACAAAACCTTTTATGTACTAGGAAAGTGCGACTTTGAACATCCCTCCATTTTTAGCTGATAAGCATAGTCAGTTTCAATAGCAAGAGGTTGAACAGACAAAGAGTATTGCTAGGGTCAAAATTCATGTGGAGAGAGCGATAAGGAGAGTAAAGGAATATTACATCTTTGATAGTATTATACCACTCAGCCTTGCAGGAACAATCTACCAGATATGGAAAGTGTACTCTCTGTTAACCAACTTTAGGAGACCTCTCTTTTAGCTCACCAGCTGGAAGCTGGGGAGTTATTGGGATGATGTGATATTTGTTTCAACTTTATTGGGATTACCAAAATACTAAAAAATCTCCAAAACAATTTTAATTTGGTATGGAGCTTTCTTGTAACAAGTTTTACCAAGATTGTTCAATGTTTGAAAAAATTCATTTTTTAGAGGTTGAGAAATCCCCATTAACCTACTAGATGGTGCAAAATAGAATTTAATGCAAGTGTATTGTTATTATTATTCTGATTTTAAATGTGAGATATCAATGTGTAGTAAATATTTCTATGAGTGGATCCAGGTCTAAGCGATTTGTAGTGTTTGTGTGAAAAAAAAAATTAATTCTATCAATTTATATCTGCTGCATTACATATTATTTTACAAATTACTTTTAAAGCCAGTGGGCTATCAGGGCCATTGGTCCTATTTTTAGCTTTTGTTAGATAGTGCTATATTTACTTTCATCATGAAGGCATGTAAGAAATTTAGCTCTGCCAACTCTAACCCTTGCAGTACAAGTACAATGTACTTTGTTGTAGTTGACATCATAAATCATGATGCACTCTTCATTGGATTCAAAGTAAACAGTATTAATATTGTATGCATTTTGACAGAAATCAGTTGGTGACACATTTAATGAAATGTTTGAAGCATACCACCTTGCATGAATTTTAGAAGACTACTTCAAATATGTAAGGAAATTTTAACTATATAAGCTTAATGAAAGCGTGACTTTATTACAGTTTTGTAATTTGTATTTATTCTACATCATATCAACATGACATGTTTAACACATTTTGTATTGTGTTTCCCAGTGTGGTAATAAATTTTGAAAATATCTAACAATAGTAAAGAAAATAATTAAATTTTTTCCTTTTCCTCATCTTATTAAAGAAAGAAAAGAAAATACAGTAAAAACCTGTGTTTTAAGACCACTGTGATGTGATCACCACCTGTGCTTAAAAACATAATTCACATGCCCTATACCCTCCATGTTGAATTACCTCTCATTTAATTTCACTTTTGGCTGATATTAGGGGCAGTCTTAAAACATGGGTTTTACTGTAATACTGTAAAATAAGAAATTTGTATGCCTGTTTTATTTTGCTGATTTAGCTTTTTTTCTCAATCCGCAACATTTATTATGTGTATGACAATGTGGAACAAATACCAATCTGCAAATTAACTTGTGCTAATTCACTAAATATCAAAACCACAAAATAAAACACCCACAAAAATTTATTTTTTACAGTCCAAACATACAATTACAAAAAAAATTTGATAATTATTATTTTTACTTGTGCAAACAAAGTAAGAAATGTTGAAAATAGAACTTGTCCGATTTCTCCTTCATATCCTGCAAAAAACATCTGATCAGATGTTATCCTTTTGATTATGAAATCATCATTGTAAAGAATCATAAAGTCACATCACTTAAAGCCTGTTAGTCCCAACTGTCCCATGATCTGATGATAATATTCATGAGTTCTATGGAGATAAAATTCCACATCTTCAGATACATGCTTCAGACAAGAACATTCTTTATAAGAACCTTTCTGTGGACATTTGATTTTAAGAAGTTCCCATTTTTTGGTCATTTGGAGGCAATGTATCATACACAAAGCGATCTGGAGAGCACCCAAGATATGGAGCTGATGGATTAATCACAAATCCAATGCTATATACACTTATCCATTTGTTTTTGACATAAAACTTTGCAGCTTTCAGTTCCAACTCCAAAACTCTTTGCATTGTACTTGTCTGGATTAATTTGCCAATGATTAACCTCTTTGCAAAATATTCAAAAAGTGTTTTCCATGAACAGACATTTTTGAAGTTAAATGCTGTGAGGTGAGAAGCTCAAATTTATTTCCTTTCTGGGCATTCACTTTGTTGATGGGTTGATGCCTCATTGTCATCCGATTCCACAAAAGTACAGGAAAGCCCTTTATACAAAGATCTAAGTTCCATAATAAGATTGTCAAATCATACTGTTGAACAAGTACAGGTTTTGGGCAGAGTGGACATTCTGGAGTGTCTGCAACATTGATGATAGCATCCTGTGGATCAATGATATGCTGCTGGTGAATGAGTATACTGCCTGATGGTACTGCTCCAACCTTGCTAGGGACTGGCACTGGCCATTCATGAGGAAGAAACTGCAATACCTGGGGTTTGAATACCTTGTGTGGACAACATCTGAGACAGGCTTTTCTTATATTTTCTGACTGGGTTGTATAGTATAGATGATATCCCTATAAAAGAAAAAACTGATAAATAATATTATTTCATAATAAAGTTCTTGAATTGCTGCTTCTAAATGATAAATATGTGAAGAATGATTGTGTCTGTCAAATTTTGCAACACCAACAACCCTCTTCTCCCACCTCAAGAGACAGATTGAACTCAAAATACTTTTCTGCCTGTGACAGTTCTTTGTTTCTTTCTTGATGATGCAGGCAGTTTCATCTTGAACATTTACATGTTAGGTATAGGAACAGCCTTGATCCATTGGGTTCGTGGAGGGACATTCCACTGCTAAGGAGCTGTTCTCTTTGAGGCAATGGGTGGTACAACTTTGATGCCAAGGTTCTGTAAATGGACTAACTGATACAACAGATTGAGAGAATAGTTGCAGGTTCCCTTTCCTGCTGTACAAGTGCAGCTGCTTGTAACATCCATATCTTTTGTTATATACATCTGTAACAAATATTTTATCGATTGCATTGCAAATAATTTGAACAAAGAATAAAAACAAAATCAACAAATCATAGTAATAAATTTCAAAACAGCAAAAAGGTGATGATTGTAAAAGGGTGTTATGGATGGATGAGTCCAAGTTTGAAATATTTGATTCAAAGAAAGGTGAAAAATACTTATCTCAATGCATAGCACCTACCATGAAGCATGGGGAAGGTAGTGTGATAGTTTGGGGGTGATTTTCTGCTTAGGAACAGGAAATATTTGCAAAATAGATGGAATAATGGACCAGTGCAAGTACCATCAGATTCTGATCCTCATGGTATACCCAGTGGTTTGAGTATTATTGGTAATGGATTTTACTACCAAGAAGATAATGACCTCAAACATTCATTCAACCTATGCAGAAATTTCTTAGCTATGAAAGAAGCTGTTGGAGTCATTCAAATGATTCACTGGCCACCACAGAGCTTTGATCCCAACCCAATTGAGCAGATCTGGGATTTGATAGATCAAAAACTTGACAAATCAAAGGCTACTTCCAAAGAAACTTTATGGGAGTGTATTAGAGACATTTGGAGTAAAATCCCAAAGGACACTTTGATTAAATATGTTGCAACAATGCCTGCAGTTATTAAAGCAAAAGGGGGGAACACACACACAATATTAACTGTTTGCTGAACTCAAGCACTTCCACTGAGTTTCTGTTGTACTAAATATGATGATTAATAAAATTTTAATGTTTCACCTGTGATTTACCTTCCATTGTTCTATGAAAGTAGCCTTAAATCAAATTTGTAACTTTGTCCTAACACTTTTGCACAGTACTTATTATATATATATATATATTTTTTTTTTCTTCTCACCTCAGTTTCCTTTAGTGGATCATTCTTTTTCATGGAAGGGAACATCTGGATCTAATCGAAACCTTCTTGGCATTTCTCACTAAATTAAAGGAACATAATTACGTGTGTGTTAGTATAGTAGTTTTGTTGTAATAAAACATTTAGACCCATATTACAGCTTTAAACACAAACTGTTGACACCTGTTCAATCATGATGTTTCAAACTTCAGATTTTAATTAGGAGCAATGATATAGATCTATTAAGGTACTCACACCTTGCAAATGAAAATGAAAAATCAAACATAAGTTCTCTAACAGCTGAAGTATAGATCTACATGCATGTGTTATTGAACAGGTGGTTACACAATGTGAGAAACGAGAAATGAATCCTTTACCTTCAACATTGTAAAAAAAAAAGTAAAATCCCTTGTTAGCATTTTTCTGGGACTTCAGCCATCTCATTCACCCATTTTTCAATACATGTGTACATTATAAGTGACAGCTTTGTCAAATTTGTCATCCATGGTAAGAGTTTTGCTGAAACATCTGACACGTTGCTGCCAGCAGTGCTTGGGTTAACAGCCTCCTTTTTGTTTCTAAATGGCCGCTCCATGATAGAGGAGTGTTCCCCTATTCACCTCCTTTTTTTT